CCTCCCCCATCCCCCACCGTCTAACATGGCGGTCTAAAAAGGCGGTCGCAAGGTTGTAACGCTAACTCGCCCCAATAAGACGCCTGCACTGCAGGCTACCACGATCACGACGCCCAGGTCGAAGCTTGCCGCACATGGTCAAGAGCTCATTTTCCAATTCTAAATTCTTCTGTCATATGTTTTTTTTGCTCAATACCCCAAAAGGTACCGAAAACGGCCTCCGCTGCGGACCTGTCGAGGCTGAGATCTCTAAAAGATACAACCGCTAAAAAGTACGACAAGCAGCCCCGTCCTTTCTATATGAGAGTCCTCCGGTGTGTATGCCCCGCCGGCTTATCGGCCTGCGCTGCTGGCTACACGGTTGCAGGTACAACTCCTATACTTCGAGTGTTAAAACTGCTCTCGCTCACTTTTAATCGCCGGACAAAAACCAGGCAAACAAACAAACTAACTAACAACATCATCAACAACAGTGACAACAGCAGCGAAAAGCGTCAAATAGGTTACAAACTATTTTTGCTAAAAACTCGGCTGCATATTGTCCGATCGACGGCTCACGTTCACGAGGGTCAGGACGATGGGAGACGAAAATGGGTACGACCTAAGCATTCTTACTCTCGTAAACACCATTTGTGCGCAATGCTTGTCTGTTCCTGTATATCTTCTCAGAGTACCGAGGCTAAATTTAGCATCAGGTCTGATTGTTTAGAGGAGTTAACTCCAGACAAAGATTACAAGGTTTGCAACGATTAATTTAAAACCAAAATCTAGCTTACTTTTGGGCAAGTGGGGAGATGATTGTGCTAAGAGATCACGTGATCCAAAACATTGTTCTGCCGCGTGCAAATTTCCGGGTTGACAGAGGAGGGTCTGGGTAAGAAGGTTTTCCTTATCAACCAAAATGGCGGCGAAGTAACAAGTTTCTAGCGACGGAGTTGTAAACATGGAAAGAAAGGATTCCGAAAATCGTGACAACTTCTTTGCTAGTTTAAATCAGCTTATTTTAAGTTTAGAGCCTGCCATAAAGGAAGCTGGGTCGGTGTCGGCGGCCGAAGATATTTTAACACACCTAGAGGCAACAGACGAAAATTTTCACAGGTTTGGAAACAGGGTGTTCTGTTGGTGTCATTGCATCGAGCTCAGCAGACTCTGTTCTGAAATCTGTTTGCGCTTGATTAACCGAAAAGAGGTCTATTATAGTATACTTTATGCGGAGATATGCTATAGATATTTAGCAAAGCTTGCTACATGTACAAGAAAACCTACTGTGTCTACTAGACCACTGTACATGTATATGCTATCCGTGCAGTAAGCTCAATATTATTATTGTAAGTTTTTTTATCGAAATAATATTCCCCCCTAGCTACAAGTAGTAACTTTTTACTGTTGATTTTTTTCTTTTTCCAAGTTAATATTTTTTTCAAGAACAGATTTTTACCTCTAGTCTTGCCTTCTCGTATTTACCACCCCAAACTGTTTCACCAAAACTGTGGGCCTGGCGTCTTGGTCCCCTCTGTAACTCCGCCACTGGGGATGACATGATACAGACTGATCAGTTCTCTTTTCGAGGTGGACAATGTTTTTTTTTTAAATCCTAATGTTGTACTTGAGGGGGAATTGATTTTATATTAGTTACAGGAGTAGCTGATTGATTAAAATTGGGTTTCTGTAATTCAACTTATACAAACACAGAACTTGCTGAGCCGTTGAAGTAATGATGGCATGGGCAAAGAGAATTTACATGCCACAGCATTTCTCATTCTCCGAAACTTCCACTCATGTTTCTATGACTCGATAAAAACACAGAACACGTTTTCTATTTCTTAAATAATTACAAGTGACAGTTCTTGTGTTATAAAATATTTGTACCCTTGACAAAGAAGAAGCTTTTACATGTAGCTTTTTGAAGTGATTTGCATTATAACTCACTTGATTGTTTTTGGTAAAATTCTGACTCTATTTGTTCACTAGATATGACTTTGTGCGTCAGCTTAGGAGTCGTATTGACACCACTCTTACACCTTTAATTGACAAAAAGTTGGAGCGACTGACTGGAAGGGAAGGAGACAGGAACAACTCAATGTCTGTTATAACAGACGAGATTATAGCTTCACCTGAGTAAGTTTAAACATAGTTACAAATACATGTATACTGTGGTATAAAGATTTAACTTAGACAGAAGGTAAATGTACCCCTGGTAACTTGAGTTTCACGCACTAAGCGATCATCAGACTAGTTGTTTCACACAAACAGCTAGTGAGATGATGATCCCTTAGAGCGTGAAACTCAAGTTACATTTACCTTCTGTCTTTATATCTTTATATTTTGCTCTGCATATTTTTTGTATTGAGCACTCTTAGGATAGGTGAAATAATTCATTCATTGTTGATCCATGTATATTTTGGTATATTGTTTGTTTAGTTTTGTTTTGTATTTTTTCCTTTGTCTTAGATTCGTTGTTATGATATGAAAGGGTAACTGGCCTAGTAGAATTTAGAAGCAATGGAGTGGTGCTAGTCCATCTCAGGGTTGCTCGCAGTCCAGTAGTGTTTTAATTAATTCATTAGTAAGGACTAAGCCTTTATAACACCTGGCTGAAGAGAGGCACTGTGAAAATAAAAGTAAAGAACACAACATGCAAGAATACAACACACCAGAACCTGGCCCAAGCCAAGAATAGAATCTGGACCGTTCATCATTCAATCATTCCAAAAAAAAAAAAAAGAAAAAGAAAAAGAAAATGGAGTAATAGATTTACTGCATGTTCATATCTTCAAGTATACAGTAACCTGTTCTCATCATGCCAAACTTAACTTACAGATTTGTCACCCTTCAGCAGTCAATTTTGGCTGATACAAAGGATGCAGTAAATGCTCTGGTAAGATAATACCTGTACCATCAATCTAAAATAACCATGGACGTCAACATTTATACTGTAGGTGTACAGGGCAGTTAGGAAAGGCTACAATGACTTAAAAGTTTGTTTATAAAGTTGCACTGCCTTTATAAAGTGGTTCAATTCCTATTTTGTTTAGAAACATTTTTTTTTTTGGTACTGTCACTGTAAATGTTTTAGGGCACTTAAGTTAAGAATATAAGAATATAAATTTTACTCAAATTATAGGTACTTATAGAATGATAGTAATCTAAACAGATCATTAATTTTCAGATCCAGAGTTTTTCCCAGAACCCTCGCCTTCGTACATCTGACTATGAGCTCACAGAAAACAGGGGTCGACTGCATCCTTTCAGATTGTCACTGGATTCAAGTGATGAGGATTCTTCTATGTCTTCTTCTTTTGGACAGGTATCTTTCATATGTCCAGTACTCTATTATTAACCTAATGCCGTCCAAAAGTTGATTGTTAGAAGCCTCCAAGTATTATCAACTAATATTATCACAGGAATTTATTCCAAAGTAAATAAGGGAATTGAATTCACAGCCAAATGCATGCTCATGAATAGGGTGACCCCCACAAGCATACATAATGTAAAAAGTGATGAGACCACACAAATTAACTCTGATTGCCAACTGCAAGAAAGGTCAGAGTATTTATCAGATGCAAGATCCTGGGTTAGGACCTCCTTAACAAAAATATATTTTTCGTAGAGTACATTCATAACACTGTTCGTATTTCTTTGGGCCCAGATGTTATTTTTGATCACTTTCCTTGCTTGGTTCATATTATGTATAATCAATAATTGTAATTGGTTTTTATGTTGTTTTAGACTGGATATATGTTTAATATGTCACCTGAGAAATTCAGCGAGATCGCAGAAAATCTGGATCCAGTTAAACCACTGCATGTAGGTTGAATTCAATTTAATAATATCCTCTCTCTCTCTCTCTCTCTTTTTTTTTTTTGGATTGTTTGAAGTTAAGAAAAGAACCTCTTTAATTTTATTTAACATGGGACATGGAGCACTCTTATACATGTTAATGTCCCTTTGGTTATTGCTTTTTTCCCACGAACACTGTACCAGGCTGGAATTTTTGAAGGTCAGGAACTACTCTACTTGTAGCTGTTAAAAAGTACATTATTTAGAAAGTCATAAAAATATAATTATTGATATGTTGTTTAAATATTCAATAGATGACATTTTAACTGATCAATGCCATTACAAGTACACTACATACATATGATGTGTTCCTCTTCTTCCCTTTTTTTGATGTCAAGTTTTACTTTACGTGTATATACTGGGTGACTAACAGCACTTATAGTGTACATAGCTAAACATGATTCAGGACTATCACTACTCTTCTGGATTGGGTACATGTACCAAATGTTCTTTTCAGAATTTTTGTACATGTACACCAGGGTAGAGAGGTACTAGTGAATTTACTAGTGACCTAGTATATTGGTTTACCCTATATGCAGCACATAGGTCAGACTGTTACTTAACCCAGACCCAGACTCTAACTCTAATACTCATTGACTACACATTAAGCCACTTGGTCTCTTTTTGGGGGACCCACACCATTTTCAAAGTTATTTATAACTGACCTAACAAAACAAGTTATAGACGAACAATACAAACAAAGTCCCTCACCCTAAGAACAAATGAGGTCTGCAGATTTGCCAAAAATGAAAACAAAACTGCAGGTCTGAATCAACTGCTATGTTTTACTAATTACCAGTGAATCAATAGCAGAAGGTGGTCTGCCCTTGTCCTAAATAGGCAGAACATGCCTTACTTCCATTTTTCATTTATTAACATTGATATCCTTTTGTTGCCACAGGTTCGGATAAATGCTCTCAACACCCTGTATCAGTTTCCTCTCTCTGATGAACTTACCAGCAAGAATTCAGATGGAATAAGGAAAGGACTGTTAGCTGCACTGGCTGATGAAGATGAACAGCTGGCAGTATGTTCAAATTTATGTTTTCCAGATAAAATACTTGGCATCTTCTTCTGAAGTTTTCTTTGATGAACACAAAAGTACATACATGTATTGTGTTGTTTCAGAAAATATCCATATCCCCCAGGGGAGGTTTATTTATCTGAGCTCCCACCCCAGTACAGTGTCCTTGTGCACAGGGGAGGTTTCCATGGAGACTTTCTAGAAAGTGCTCATTTCTTTATTATCACCACTTGACAAAGTTCTTGTTCGCGCAGCTGTACAGTTGTTTCATATCCTTTGATTTGGCCATGGCAAATCTCAGAATTGTGAGGTACATTGTATGTACTGTTTGAGCTACTTTTACTTTCAGTCTGGGGACAATTAACCCCACCAAAAAATCGTGGAAAAAACTGTTTTATGCAAATATTATTTCACGTGCTGGGTAGATGAAATCTGTACTTGAACACTGGAATATTAAGTAATTGTAACTTGTTGTAATCATTGTTTCTTTTACTGTAGGAAAAGAGTCTCAAGTTTCATGCTCGAATGTTCATGGCATCTTCTGCTCATGTGACAAAAGAGATCTACACATGCTTAGGTGAGCATTAAACTGGTCAGTAGACATTAGCAGCCATAACATAATCGTGGCTCTTACTTATGTAGAAAACACAGTTGGCCTAAAACAATAGAGAACAAAAGGACAAAATCTGATGAGTGTGAGTAATCCTGGTGTAAGATGGCCAAAACGGTCGACGTAGTTACGACAGATACGAGTGTACGATTTACAAGTTTATTGACAAAAATAGCGGAGACAATAACAAAATAAACGGGAACGACTAACACAAGGGTTATTGAGAATATAGCATTCGAACTAAAACAGTGCTTGACTTGAGAACTTGAGTATAGCTCAGAATAAACCAACTGAATCAACTGAATTTGCTGAACAAATGGTTGCCAATTTATAACAGATTTGAGGAAACTGTAGGAATAACTCTAAATAAAATAAGGCTAGGGAGTGTATTTGTTACCCACGAATACAGGATTTACCTAAGGGAACTAGGAGGTAACTTCTCCTACACAACAGGATTTAGCTAAGAGAAGTGTGTGGGAAAGAATCACCAACGCATACCAAAATAAGGTGTGTAAGGAAACCAAACTAATGTAGGAAAATAACCCAAATAGTAAGAAGAAGAATAACACAACACTAATTAAAAAGTTTGAAAATTAGAACTGAAAATGAACTAAAGTGACCTTGTCACACTGGCATCAGCACAGTCTCTGCAGCTGGTGCACAGAAAACCAATTTTTGAGCTTGCCACTCCAGCAAGCTCTAACTACAGGGTGGTAACTTACGTTTGAGTAATACTGTTTGATGTACTAGATAGCCCGTATTGAATTTAAATTTCAAAAAAAATTCCCAAGGAGACTTTTCTTGTCTATTGGTCAATTGACAGTCAAAGTGACAAATCCACTAGGCCCAGGCTACTGAACAGGACTTTCTTTGCACACAGAGTGCTCTGAAGCCTTGATTTCTATCTTAACAGGAGGCAATGACCTAATTATGTGCATATCTTTTTGTTGTTTCCTCTTTTAGCTGAGCACCTTGTCTCATGCTTCAGTGATGCTAACTGCCACCGTATAAACATTGAAAATGGCCTGGATGTATCTACCAGAAATAATCAAAGATTACTGAAGCGGGTTAGTGCTTTATGACTGTGAAATGGTTTTTCTTGTCAGACAGCAGCATGAAATAACAGTTATGAATAATTTTTCATGTAAATTCTAACACATGCAATATTTAGCATAAATTTTGTTCAATTTATAGTTGTCATATTGGGATAATACTAAATCATTATGCTCACATTTTTACCGTACCTTTTTTTTAAAATTTCTATTAGTGTTAATAATGAATGGTTCATTATTTTTCACTTCCACAGTTCAGGCTCCTGAATGAATTTCAACATGAAGTTTCCTACTTCTGGATCAGATATCCTGAATGGTATGTTAAACTCATGTTTAGTAATTATGAAAATTAGACTGATTGAAGCACACAATGTACATTGGGTATTACAATAAGGTTGGTATTATTAATAATAAATTACATGTATATACTATTAATTACATAATATCACGGGTGGCAAATTACTCCTTAACTTTTGGCACAGAATTTACATGTTAATTTATTATTTCACATGTGAAGTTATAAAATTGCCATGGCAAAATTAGGTGCAAAATTTCTTGGTACGATATTGCAAACGTATTTGTCCCCCGTGATATTGCATGGTAATCAAATGATATCTAAAATTAAGAAATAATTTCACTTGCATTACTACTAGAGTGAGTAGTAATTTTGCAAGCAGTATGGCTGTTCACTGGGATAGTAGATTACTCCTCCAGTGAGTGGTAATCTTGCTACATAGCTAGGGACTGGATGTAATTGTTTCTTCTTTTAGGTTTCTTGAGACTGTTCTGGCGAGTACTTTCAATCTGTTCTCCACCAAGTCTGATCCAGAGTTTGAATCATCTGAGCTGCAGTTCATGATGCCACTACACTTCCTTGCTCTGATTGACCCGAGAGCTACCTGGTTTAAAAAGTGGATGGTAAGTTCAAACAATTCCTGCTTGCTGCAGATAGAAGCTGAGGTACTGAGAACCCCACATGATGCCTCAAAATTTCGTATTTACATGGTCTGATAGTACAGTTTATGGAAAACAGCCAAGAGCATCCCACTTACCCCAACACAAACGATGTATCTTACATGACATAACTTAACTGTTGTTACTGTGTTATTAACCACTCATCATGATCATTTATTTTATAGCATGGTAATTACAGTAGAACTGTCGCAATTAAAGAACTCAAGAAGCATCCTTCTTTGGTAAGATTATTAAATTATCAAATATCTATATTTTAATATGTAGATCTCAGTTATTTATGAGAGAGTTGATCTGCTCTTTATCGCCAAGTTATTCAGACGAAAATTTAGGTNGGCAGGAGGCAGACCAGTTGAATATTTTCAAACGTGGCTGAGGTTTTTTACTCGGGTCTGCCTTGAAACAACTCCAGCTGGTGGTAAAAAATGGGACGTAAAACCCGCTACTGGATTTGAAGTCCGCAGCTCTAATCACTCGGTCACGCTTCCTTCAACATTGGATTCGAGACCAAAGATGACAGTACACAGTCTGAGTTAAAAATTTGATTATGTTTGTTTCTCGTCCCAGGATGTGATAACCACCAGTCTTCTGTCTCCCGTCCAGTCCTGGCTTGATGTAAGTAGTCAAAAAATATGAAACGGTCTTCTATTTTACCAACACCTCCTTACTAAATATATTTCCCACCATTTCTGTACTTGTTCAAGATTTATTTATTTATCTATCTCTTTCTTCCCTCACTCTCTTCCCTCCTTTCCTCCGCTAAAACGCTTTTAATACGCTTGACATGCGCGCAGGTTACCTCCGTTTGCGAACTTGTTTTCAATTTTGTACTTTTGAAAAACATTCAGAAAATTCGTGTAAGCCTTGAGTTTGAAATCCCCAAATATATTTCCAATGCTAACAGGGCTCGAAAAAAATGCCTTCCGGTCGTCCGGAATAAGAAGGTTTTCCTGCCGGACAAGTAACTTTTCATTCTCACTTGCCCAATGGGTAAGACACCGGGCAAGTTGTCTTTCAACTAAGTGAATAAAGCAAACGAAGGCTTGCCCAGGGCAAGCAAATTTTTGACCTCCTTGTCCGAAGGGCAAGCTAGAATTCAAGTTTTTTCGAGCCCAGGCTAATCAGCCAAGTATAGCAAAGTGTACAAGTTCTTACGAGTATACCGCCGGGCAAAACGTTTTGTGGCAGCACATTTTCGTAGGAAAATGGCTGGTTAAGCCAAATTTCGACCAACCTGGGTAGAGTTCGAGAGGATAAGTTTGCTTAATTAAGGAGCCCAAAGAATAAGTGNTCCTTCAACATTGGATTCGAGACCAAAGATGACAGTACACAGTCTGAGTTAAAAATTTGATTATGTTTGTTTCTCGTCCCAGGATGTGATAACCACCAGTCTTCTGTCTCCCGTCCAGTCTTGGCTTGATGTAAGTACACTGTGGTCAAAAAATAATGAACGATCTTTTGTTTTACCAATACCTTCTCACTAAATATATTTCCCATTATTTCTGTACTTGTTTGATTTATTTATTTATCTATCTCTTTCTTCCCTCACTCTCTTCCCTCCTTTCCTCCGCTAAAACGCTGTTAATACGCTTGACATGGGCGCAGGTTACCTCCCACCGGGCAAGTTGTCTTTCAACTAAGTAAATAAAGCAAACGAAGGCTTGCCCAGGGCAAGCAAAATTTTAGACCTGCTTGTCCGAAGGGCAAGTTAGAATTCAAGTTTTTTCGAACCCAGGTTAATCAGCCAAGTATAGCAAAGTGTACAAGTTCTTACGAGCATACCGCCAGGTAAAACGTTATGTGCAGCACATTTTCGTAGGAAAATGGCTGGCTTAGCCAAATTTTGACCAACCTGGGTAGAGTTCGAGAGGATAAGTTTGCTTAATTAAGGAGCCCAAAGAATAAGTGGATTAAGAGAACGACTGAGAGATACTTGCTCTATTGTGTTTTTGTGATAACTTTCTGACGTTGTATTTTTCATTTCAGGGTATGGACAGCTGTGACACACCGGGTGCTGAGAACACGCTTCTCTTGGTAGCTGATGTTTTAGCCACACTGGCTGTTACAGAAACAGGACAAAGACAGCTGTTATATGGAGAAACACAGGACAGATGGCAGAGAAGCAGGTATTGCAGTGCCTGTGCGATCCGTTGCCAGGATTCCTAGCTTTAAGCTTCGAAAATGGACTCTGGTTTGAACCTAAGAGCATCAGTAGATCGTCTGGTGTGATCATCTGGTTGAGAGTAATCTTGAAAAGATCTGTCAGAAGTGGCAACTTGCAGCCTTGTACAGCTGTTTCGACCTTCTTCGATCTCACTAACACAATGCTTAATGCTCACACCATTTCCTCAGTATTTCGTGGTATTACTATGTTACAGCAGGCTTACGTAGCATAACGTACCGTTGTTTAACGTAATGGAAATATCGTATGTTTTCGAATTAACATTTGGTCTCTGAACTGAAGAGTTGTAAATAAGGCCCCTGAGGCCCTTATTCGAGGTATTATAAACTTTTCATCTAATAAAACACCCGTTGTCAACAAATAACAGGGCTCAGATAATACAAAATTGCTTCAATGCAAGTTTGAGGACGTTTATGACACAAATGTGTTATAAACACCCTACCAAAAGTCCACGGAACCAAACCTTTAGTAATAATCCATGTTGACTAGTTTCTAAAGAGCACTGATGTTGTTATATTTTTGTTGCTCTGATATTCAGGTTTTCCCCAGCTCACACGATAGCGCAGTTCGCCAAGAAAGCTTTATCTGACAGACTTCCAGGCGGAACACCTTCCAAAGCGGTTATTTCTGGCTTCTTGTTCGTTTGCCGACAACTTTACAACACATGTGATGGACTCATGGTACTGAATCACTATGAACTGCATCAACATGTCGCCAACGCCTGGATTAAGGTGAGTAGCTACACTGATCATCATCTCCTTGATATCTTTAGCATTTCAAAATCTGAGTCGTGGTCGCACACATGCGTTAAAAACAATTCGAAGAGCCTAGATTAATTTTGATTCCCGCATTTTTTAACGCTAAAACACTTGGTGCTGTAAATGTTATTATTCATTTGTTGTAAGACATCCTGCCTTGTTATATTTGGTTGGTCTATAGTGCATTCTTCTGTTCTTGTACTCGATCTACTGAGTGTGTATCCCTTGTGAGCCTGTCCCCTCATAATCAACTAGCTGTGGAGTCACGTAGCTTACTGCGCATGCATTATGATGATACCTTTGCTTATATAAATACGCTGAAAAGTAGCTCTAATATGATTGGCCACCTCTCGACACTACACTAGTGTCTTGAAATCGTTTCACAGAAATGGTCGGAGAAGAAGAAATTGGTAACACTGTAAAGTTTCAATGCTCTTGTTGACTGATGAAAACGTGGATCATTTGTAAATCGCTGAATTGTAGAGTTCCTTTGCCTTGATTCAATAGATCATAAAATGTGACAAATTAGAACTCCGGCCATCAGTGACCACACAATCCTGTTGTATATTCATGACTATTTTCTGGAATTGATGGGCATTATCAAACAGCAGAAGCACGGCAACAGGGAATCTATTTGTCAATATGAATCAAGTGAAGAAATTTTCTAGTTCACTTGTGCACAGCTGTATGTTCATAATTACTTATTATATACTGCCTTTTGTTTCACCAGGTACTCGAAACAGCCTCTGCTGATACAGAACTAGCGTCCGATGAAACGCCACCAGAATTCATTCAGGACGAGGAACTGTAAGTATTTACACTGTGTTATCTGTTGTTGCTTTTGTTTTCAGTCTTGGCCTGACATGGAAAGTGTTCAAAATAGATAATTTAAAGTAGAGTAAGAGTATGGCGCTTGTCGCTGAATTTTGTAATCAGGGTAAGGCTTTGTCTTTAGACTTTCTTATCACTACTCTTACGTGAACGATCGCTACAGAAAAATAAAAAAAATGAAGCAAGGGACGTGATGGTGATGCATTGATATGTACGTTTTCTTGATCTTTTTAGGCTTGTCTGGGAGAGTTCATTGATCGATAACCTGTTAAATTTTGCTGGCACTCCAAAGGGACTGCTGCTTCTGCAGCAGACTGGAAAAATGAATGAATGCGTGGCTTATATGAATGAGAGATATATCAAGAAACTACAGGTGCAGAAAAAGTTTTTACTTTAACAACGTATAAGAAACGTTTCGTCGGAAAAGTGCGGACAGGAAATTACACTTTGACAAGTTTTCCCAATTTGGGGTATGTGAAAGGCCAGGGAAGTCGGGGTATCTTGACTCACACCACAACATGAACGGAACAAATGATATACTTGTTTTTTGGTTAACGTCTCCTCTGGTAATGCTTGGTGTTCTCCCATAATATTGTTCCTAACTTCATTCCAAGGGTTTAGAAAAGGGATGCAGTGTTCTAAAGAAGGTATGTCAAAGAGGTACCTTTTTCAATAAAAGGTATTCGAAAGGGTTACTTTTTCTGTCGAAATGGTGTACAAAAGGGTAAGGGGTTGAACCTCGTGGCGGAGCCTCCCCGTATAAAACATTCTAGGGTAGCCCCCTCCCCCACCCCNTATCTCTCAAAATAAAAATACAAAAGAGAATAAAGCTACAAATAAAGTTAACTAAGAATGATAAAATTAAAGTAGTCAAGTTGAACACATATGACATTTGCATCCACTGCTTGCATCAATTAAAATGTTGCATGCGCACGCTCAGAAGAACTAACAGGACAGCAACCAAGCAGTTTAACCGGTTTTTATAGAACAAGATTTACTCGTTTATATGTTATTTGTGTCCCCCAGAGGTGAACTGGATAGTAAGTTCTCTGGTGGTCTAACATTGGTCGTGTTTTCCATCTTTCCTTTCCTAGGCACTCAACAATCTTTTAAGCGTGTTGTCAGCATTTCCTGCTGTATATGAAGTTCTTGCTGACGATTGTCGTCCATCCACATCGAGTTCTGAGGTGGAGGAGACCATCACAAGTCGAGACGCGTTCTGCGCACCTGTCAGTATTATGGTTAGTAAATATATCACATATTAACCAAGCGTAACGGCCGCAGTGGGAGAATACCCGGCTTATTGTGGGCCTTGATGGTACGAATCGAACGCGGCGTGGTTGTTACAGAGAGACCGAAAACTGCGAGGGTTGCAAGTAAACCTGGTTAATAAGAGATTTATTACACGAACTAACGTTTGAAAACGTGCTGTGGAGACTTTAGAAGGTCCAGAACTGAGAAGGTTATAAAGCGTTCCGATAGGTAGATATTAGTTATTGGTCTTCTCAGCTGTGTTAGTCGTGTAATAGGGAGGCAGGTATGGCGGCCTAATGATTAGTGTGTGAGACGCCGGATCGCTCCAGGTTCTGCCGTACTCTTTTTGTTGTGTGCTTGAGACGCGTTCCTCCCACAGTGCTTTTCTCCGGAGGGCTGATGAGAGGTAACCCTGTAGTGGACTAGCGTCCCATTCATGGAAGGGAGGGAAGGAGGGAGGGACTACTACTCCTAGTTGCTTGATTCTGTGCTCAATTCATTCTTCGCCGACGTAACGTCCGAGACTCCAGTTCGAACCGTGAAATTCAGGACTGCTGGTGACGTAGCTCTGCTTCGTTTAGCATCTCGGATTGATTGTTGCTCGGAATCTCAGGCGTCCGAAAGGCGAGGCTGCTGAGACTGTTGTTGTTGTGACTTATCTTTCTTTCTTCTCAAACAGGATTTAGTTGATCGTTTCATCATGATTGACTCGGAAGAGAAGTTCCATTCGCTATTTAACTTTGAACAGTCACATCACTTTGGTCTCAGGTACGCCAACGTAGAATAGACATTTTTGCATTTCGTGTCCACAGCAATAGGGCCTTTGCAGGATCCGGTCACATGGTATGGAATAAATTATGCTGGGACGCAAGTTACACAATGGGACTTTCAAAACAAAGGAAAGTCTGGCTGGGTTGGTACGAGTTGCTTTGTTTTGGAAGTCCCACTATGTAACTTGCGTCCCGGCATAATTAATTCCGTACCGTGTGACCGGATCGTGCAAAGGGCCTAAGATGGCTGCTCGATTGAGGCAAAAGTGTTGGTGATATTGAGTTAAAGAGCAATTGAAAATATACTGCACAAGGAGAGAAGCTACGTAAGCTTGAATTGTGTTCATGTACTTGTTGAAATGGTAAACAAACGAAATGCACTTGAATTAAGAGGTCACACACTGAGTTAGGTCTTAAAAGGTAATGCCTTCACTCAAATCCAGGTGCTTGACCGCAGCTGTATGTTATGAAACGTTGCGGAGCAAACCATTGCACGGAACTTTCTTAATGTAAAGGGCTGTTATTGATGTCGCTTTTCTTCTCCTCAGAGTGCTAAGTGTCCTGTGTTCATGCCTTGACACATTCCTCTTTCTGGAATGTTGCTATCATTTTCAAGAGCTCCTGCTTCAATCTCAGCTGGACAACAGATTAGACAATGGGTAAGACTTTCAATTAATTTGTGTAAGTAATCGTATTTAGAGGGTTACATGGCACTTTGGTTCACAGTAAGATTGATTCAGGAAGACAATTCTCGTGTACAAGCACGCCACTTTATGTATCATTTCTTTCACAGAAAAAGCTGTAATAGTATAATAACCAGGTTCAAGTTGAATTTGTTTTTTTCTGTGTAATTTCAGAAAGGACTACATCATCGACATGTGTTCTGTGGACAGGAACCACATTTTGGTCAAAACGTATCTTGTTGGGGGCGCATCAGAGAGGATCATTCCTGGCATGACCTTAACTGAGGTAATCAAAAGTGCTCCTTAACTATACGTCGGTGGATAAAGTCTTCAGGACTTCAAGTAAAGGGTTCGTTAAGAGAATAGTTTATTCATTGATGACTTGATTCATGTATAGACTGACTGTTTGTCTGATGTCATTTGTGGTAGGATTTGAATAACCCTTACCCTTGGCCTTTGTTTTCGTCTTATCCGCCTCCTAAAGACTATCTTCCTGTTGAACAAATTTCCAAGATGACAGCATTTGAAGAAGGTTGGTAACTGTAATTTCTTCATGCATGCATCGTTTTCGATGTCTTCTGGAGGCCTAAGTGTACTATTTCAAAACCAACAGTTTTTTTAACATGATTTACGATCGTTGAGATATCCACTAAAACCTATAGACAGCCCATGCAATGTTAGCTTGGCTGTGCAGATGGCCAATCGGATTCCAGAGGAAGGAGTTGTAGAAGAGCAGGATAACTGGCAATTAGAGCGATTTTTTGATGATTGTCGTATAACCTAAACCAAGGGTATGACGCTTGGCCAAGCATTCATAGCATGTAATAAAGATAGGAAACATTTCGGGCGTGTTAATGCAAATCTACCGAAGACGACATTTGTTTGATTGGTGTACAGTACTGAAGAACTGTCACTTTGTCTTTTGCAGGTGATACTCTGTTGGAGTTTCTAGAGAGCAGTGAACCAATGTCAGCGGACAGGCAAGCCATCTTGCTACAGCATATATTTATGTTTGATAACCTGTGTCTCGAAATGGACCACTCAATGCTGCCCCCGACCCTACCCTCAACCCGTTCCCCACCACCACCCTCACATGTTCTGTAAGCGAATGTTGTCCGTTAAAACAGAACAGACTTTAGATCTAAGGACAATTGATTTCTAAAGATAAAAGTAATTGTATAAAAATAAATACTACCTGACACGTGAACTAGGTAGATAAGGTAAGTTTGTGTTGTTGTTTTTGTTGTTGTTTTCTTTTGTTTGTCTTTTTCGTCGCTAAATGTCTGAAAAAATAACGAGCGTTTTGGCATTGCTGCCTTCTTGATGGCTCAAATATCTTGATTGATTTTCCCAAAACACTCTAAAGAATAAGATAAGCCTTGCTTGATAAACCTTTTCTGTTACATAGCTTCACTTGGCTTCAGGAATGTCGAAAAATGTTCTGTCAATCGCTGACATCTGGAAAAACCAAAGCAAAAGGAAATGGTTTGTACATTCATAAACCCCTATTCAGGCAAACGAAATACAAGGAGGAAGCAGCGTGGCCGCGTGGTTTAGG